CTCGAGGAGTACTCCCTCGCGGGGCTCGTCTGCCTCCTCCAGAGCAGCTGCCATCCCCTCACCCGCGCCGAGGCCTTCCGGTGCCTTCTCTCCAGTGACCTCCGCCTCGAGGAGGCGATAGCCATAGGGTCCTCTCTCAATGGTGAACGCTCACCCGCTTCTGTTCCTGCTGAGGTTGAGGAGCTCCCTCCAGCCGTGACCGAGACTGCACAGCGTGGATAGATGCATATTGGAATTTGGCATCAGCTATGGCTAGGTTACTATTACTATTCCTGGATGAGTTCCCTCCTCGTTAAAACCCTTGCATTAAGTTATATAATCCCTATGTAATCATCACTTCTAGGTGTGGGCCTTTGTTATGCTTCTTCTCTTCCTTTTCTCCATGTCTTTCCTTCTTTTGCAGGATGGGTTTTATTCATTTGGACTCGCTACACTTTATTTAGTTTTGGTTCCATTGGTTTTTCTGTTTGTTCCTCCATTTGAGCTAGCATTTCTCTTTTTTAACTACTCCCTCCATTCAAAATTGTGAGTCGTTCTGGCTTTTCTATGTACAATTGCTTTTGTTACACATCTAGATATACATTATGTCTAGATGCATATTAAAAGCGATGTACCTAGAAAAGTCAGATCAACTTACAATTTGGAATGGAGGGAGTAATAGACAAGGTGTGTCATTGGGATAAGCCTTCATTGACATTTGATATGATAGGTAATGTAACTTTCCGCTCGATACTGCTCCCCTGTTTCTTCATCACACATTTTTATTCCTGCCATACTAGGCTAAGTATTGGGATGTGATCATGTAAAGAGCTTAAATCTTCTCTTTATGTACACTTTTCAGGAACAAGAATATGACTGGTTGGTCTATTTGTTAGAGAACTGTTTCTCTAGATGTTCTATAATAATAATAATGGTACATGCTATATTCAATTAGTGTTGCTTTGTGTTTTGCAAAAAAATAAAAAGTGTCACTTTGCATGCTGCAATCATAATTACAGGCCATGCATACAATATTTACCTTAACCTTGCATCTGTACATCATACTTTGCTTACTGGAATTAATTGAATTTTTACAGTTCATTCAGTACATTTTCTGCACATGTTTTATGAATTGAATATATGATGTTTGCTACATTCAGTAAGTCCTGCTTTGCAAGCTGTATTCATAATTGCAAGCCATGCACATAAATAGTACCTGTAGCCTTGGATTCTGCAGCAAATTTTGTTTACCTGAACTAATTGATTATTTGGAAAAAGCACCACAATCTGTTGTTCTCCATTCGGCAAGGTCAGCGTATATGAATTTCTTCCAAGGGATGCACTCCTTTAGGCCTTACCATAGGATTTGGAGATCTTGGGCTCCTGGCAAGTGTAGATTTTTCATGTGGCTGGTAGCTCATGGTAGGTGTTGGATGGCCGATCGACTGGCAAGAAGAGGGTTCCCTCATCCAGAGATGTGTCCTCATTGTGATCAAGCTGAGGAATCCATAAACCATCTTCTCCTTTCTTGCATCTTTGCCAGAGATTTTTGGTTCAGCTTGTTCCAAAGAGTAGGTCTACAAATCCTTGCCCCTCAGATTGGAGAACAGTTCTTTGATGATTGGTGGGAGAAGGTTATTCTTGCTGTTGGATGACAACTGCAGAAAGGTCTCAACTCCCTTATGATCCTTAGGGCTTGGACCATATGGAATCACTGCGATAGATGTGTTTTGATGGTGTACCTCCTTGTTTGACTAGAGCTTTATTGCTTGCTAGTGAGGAGTCAGTTATGGGGTTTGGCTAGGGCTAAAGGTATTTTTTACCTTTTCACTCAGTCGTCTATGTATGGTTTGGGTGTTATTTAAATTGTGGTCGTATCATTTTCTTTTCTTGGCGCGGAGGTGATTTGTAGCTTCCTTTTGGGTGTGTGGTGTCTTATAAGGGTTTCCCTTTTTTTCTTCTTAATAATACAATGATACGCAGCTCTCCTGCGTGTTCTAGGACAAAAAAAATGTCCTCCCATATTTCTGACGGAATCATGTTGACTGCTGATTGAATTGCATAGATTGACATTTGAAAGGTAATGTAGCCATATGCTTCTATAAGAAAATTTACTTTCTACCTGACTAGGCTAAGTAAGAGGCTACAAAAGCCTGAAATGTTCTCTTAATATACACTTTTCAGGAACAAGATTCATTGTTTGATTTCAATAAAGCAATGCTGCTGGAATCCTCTGCCACTGTTTTGGTAAGTTACACTTCATTAGTGCATTGTTTCATAGCAATGCTGCTGGAGTCCTCTCCCAGCTTACAGGGAAATAACTGCACCTTAATTAGCATATTGGCCCCGTTCAACAAGAAATCTGGATGAATCTAGAGGAATTTATGAGAGAAACCATTCATAAACAGTAAAATTCCTCCGTGAACAGTACTTCCTTCGTACCAGCCGAACGAGGCCATTGGCACTATGGAGACTCTACTCTTTAACCATTGCAACATATGTTGCAGGATCTGCTGACAACCCAAAGCACCAAACCCCAAGCTCTAGCCTCTGCGAGGAGCCGAGGAGTTGGAAGTATCACTAAACTACTTCAGAACGAGAACTTTGAGCATTCATGTATATTTTCGTTCGCTTACCTCGCCAGGCGAACTGTATGAACCAGCCTCTCGACTGTCTTGAATATGGATAATGTAGCGATGACTCCATTGATGTACTATGCATATTTACATGCACTCCTACTGATGTTTAATTGCCCAGCAAACAATTATCGTAAGTACTGACTAAAATCGTGATGATCATAGGCGTGCATGGGAGCACGCAAAGTCACTAGATGTAGATAGAACAAGCTAGCCATTGCAACAGTTACAAGGTTGCTGGCTGCTGCCCTTCGTATATAGCAGTGTACACGAGCTCTGCCTTACAAAGGATGAGCAGAGGAATGGGTTAGGCGCAAGATTAACTAATCTGCTATTTTATGAGCTGAAGTCACATACTCCCTCCGTCTCAGTATATAAGGCGTAACCACCTTTAGTTTAAAGACAAGAAACGTATTTAATTCTCTCTCAATACTAGTATTACTGCATCAATGTACGTGTGTGTATAGAGAGCACGTCTTATATTATGAGACTTGAATAAAAGTGGTTATATATATTATATATTAGGATGGAGGGAGTAGTTACTTTGTATACCAGAGAACCTGGAATCTCTTGTGTAACCAACGCTGTGCTGTGTCGACTACTCTCAGTTCTAGCTAATCTTATTTGACTTCTGATTACACAAGAATAAAGAATGCAGTGGCTTTATCATTTGGGAATTGGACAACCTTATTTACAGATTCTGATATACTCTCCGCCCCTAATGTCTGTCGTTTTCGCTTTCCGATAAACAACTTTGACTAAATATATATTAAAAATATTAATATTTATGATACATAATTAGTATCATTGGATAGATATTTGAATCTAATTTTTTAATAAATTTATTTGAAGATAAAAATATTGTACGTATTTTCTATAAATCGAGTTAAAGTTATCGGCACGTAAATCATGGTGACGAATATTTTGGGAAGGAGGGAGTAGAAAATACGATGCTAATTCTGCTACGTTCTAGCTAAGTTTTATTTGACTTTGACTACACAAGGATGCAGTGACTTTATTGGTACCGTCTGCTAGGTGCTAGGATGTGGATGTAGCATGATCGAGCCTCATATAGTGTCGTCTGCCCGGCGCACCTGCACCCGATCGGCCGGAGGGAGTCGGTGCTGCGCCTGGGGCCTTCGCCAAGTTGCTTCCTACCTATTGTTGCCCGCTTACGCCAAGTCTAAATACAATTTAAATTAGAGCATCTCTTAGAGTTTCCGAAACCCACTCCCGATCTTTAACTTTTGGCAGCATTGAAAAAAAAACACTCTCCAACAACTTAGGCCCCGTTTGACAGGGCTTCTCCACCAGCTTCAGGAGCCGTTTTCTGCCAAACAGGGTAAAGTAAAATAGCTTCACTGGTGAAGCCCCTAAAAACATGCTCTCACAATGATTGGGGGTGGGATGAGCCCAAAAAAATGGCTTCTCCCGGCTCCTCCTCTAAGCCCCTAAAAACATGCTCTCACAGGGAAGCCATTTTACCAAACGGTTTACCAAAATCGCTTCAGCTCCACCGGTGGAACTGTTTGTGGAGCTGAAGCCAAAAAAAAAAATGACTTCCCTAGTGAAATGAAACCCTGCCAAACGGGACCTTATTATCTCAACTTCTAATCTTTCCGCACCTAGAAAAATCGACCAAATCATTCAAAAATATGTGTGCATACCAATTAGACAATCTGGAGTGAAAGGACGTGTGAAAGAATATGGAATAAAGACAAGTTTTTTAATACAAATGTACAAGAGAGAAATAGAGTAAAAAAAGTTAGGGTGATTTGAAAATAGCCTGAGATTACTAATGCAAATTTGTCTTCTTTGGAGCAACCCAACAAAAATGATCCTAACCTTTTTAGCCACTTAAAAACTCACTGAAACTCTTGGAGGTGATCTTAGAGAAGGGTTTGCTAACAGTAAAAGCATTCATCGAGAACCCTGATGCACCAAGCAAACTGGACAGCTTCCATAACAGAAAGGCAGGCAGGTTCAGCACTCCTGCTTTGACATAGTACAATTTTAAAAGGTGATAATTCCACTAAGCATTTGTAAAAATTAGAAAAAAAAATTGCAAAAGAAGAAAAAGCTAACCCTTTGACCTAGCAGCACGAGTTTTGTCACAAATGAACAAGTATGGTAGACAACAAACCTAAATTTACATGATCCAAACAGGCCCCTTTTGGCATGTTGGAAAGCGAACGAATCAATAGGGAAGTGAAAAACTGACCTATACAACAGGGCAATAAGGAATGTAAAGTCAAAAGATCGTGATGGGCTGTGTAAGCTGGCTTCGGTCCCTTGACAACACGACATCAAAATGACTGTGCGCCACTGCCTGCTTGGAAATAATTTCAAGCTCATCTGATCACCTTACAGAAACCAAAACTCAGTTTAGCTGCACAAGGTTGAATTGGCTAGGCATTCGTGGGGGTTAGCATAGAAGTAATCCTCTTCTTTTGGTCTGTTTTCAAGTTTTCGCCTGCACGATGGTTGAGCTACACGGTTCTTATGAGCTTCCCGAACAGAAGATGCAAAATTGTCCCAAGAGATTGTCTTGTTGGTGTACAGGTCTAGAAGTTCAACTAATTTCCGTCGGTCTAGCACCACACTTCTCCGGAAACCCAGGAACCTGAAGAAAATGATCCAAACAAGTATCTCATAATCAACTGCTGTATATTTTATTCTAAATAAGCAATTGATTTCATAAGATGACCTTTATCTGTATATTCGTACCTTCGGTGACCCTCAACAAGCTTTGCCATGTTACCATCGAAAGTGGGAATGAAAACATCACTAGCTGTGGATACGATGAAATCAAGTGCAGCCATCTGGGAAGAGTGATTTTGGAATTGACGCAGAACTTCAGAGTCTAGCAGCATCTCCTTTCGTACCTGAAAAACATTCAACACTGCTTATACAGCGAATTTGGTTGAATACTGGGGTAAAAAGATATCTCCAGACATGCTGTGCAAACGAAACTGAAATGCGGTGTTGGCAGAAAATAGGGAAAATCACTAGTTATGGAACATTAGAGAACTGTGAAAGATTTATTGCAACAACACAATTAAAGGAATTATAATTGAATGTTTTTTTACAAAGAAAGGATGCTTACAAGGTTTGGAAAAGCAGCCCGTAGTGGTTCTAGTCTCCTATCACCCCCATAAATTTCACCAGCTGCGATGTATATAAGAGCATCCTTTTGAAACCCTAGAGCTTTCAAAACAAGTGATGCCTCCTCAGGAGTAAGTGGGCATAGTCCTTGCGACCTCTTGGCTTGGGAATCAATTTCTTTATCTCTCCACCATGGATAAGCATATCTGATTGGCAAAAAAAATGTTAGTGTCGGGTACCGTAAAAAGGGGGTACCCTAAGCAAAAGCCGAAAAAACTCATAAAACCCCCATGAGGCCTCCTTAGTCGAACTAAGAAAACAGTTCACGGTGACGTCCGAGGCCGGCTCGACCGAATCCGGTCTCGGACCAAATCTCCGCCTCGCCCGAGGCCCCCGGTCAGGGTCTCGGAGGTCCCGATCCCGCTCCGCCTCGCCCGAGGCCGGGTTCGTCCCGTGTCCTCGTCGCCTCCGCCTCGACCGTCCCTCTGGCAGGCTGTCCCATCCATTTAATGCCCCTGCGAGCACCCGCTGCGTCAGCCACGACCGGCAGGGTACAGCAACAGGGGCGATAGGACAACGGTCAAATCTCCTTTTTACCATCTCTTACTGACGGTGCAGGGGTTACCGTGCCCTGTGGACACACGTCCCGCACTATTCCACCTAAACCGAGTACGACGCTGATCGCCGAGGCCCCCGTATCGCACGCGGGGCACGTCCAAGGCCTCGGATGGATAACTAGCTCTCTGCCTCGCCAGTGGCCTCAGAGGCCTCGGACAGGAAACAGATTCTCCGACTCGCCCGAGACCCCGCCCAAAAGGCCTCGGGTGAGTTACCAACGCTCCACCTCGTTCAAGACGGGCTCGGCAAACCACCCCCATCACCTCCGCCTCGACCAACCACTCCCACGACGTCATCCGGATGATGTACTTCGATGACGAGAGAGTGGCCGACGAGACGCGAAATCAATCACATCGGCACCATGCCGGCCAAAAGAAACAAGACAAGGCGGAGAGTTACTGCCCGCCCTTTGCAACAACACTCGTGCCCACGACTAAATGTCCATACCGCACTGTGCTGCCTAACTCTAACTACTCCGAGGACGACGCGGCATGGGGAGTTAAGCTCGGATCCCTGTAGCCTCGGAATCAGTGTGCAGGGTCAGCCGCTCCACCCACGCCTCGACAATTTACCTCAGGGTCTCGACAACCTTGGGGTTCACACCTGCCGCCCCCCCCCTCGATGGCTCGGCCTCGGCACCGGCTAAGCCTCGGCACTTCGTGCGGACAACGACTTCGACCGCACGCGTCGCTCGTCCGAGCCCTACATCAAGCTATTACGTCGCAAGCGAGATCGGATGTGACCGGTGCTGCCGCTTGCTCGGCCAGGCGAACCACTCCATCGACTATTCCGCCACAAAGAACAAAGCTACAGTGTCTCGGACAAAGCCTCTGTTCACACGACGCCACGTAACTAGCGCATGTATCACCCCCATCCCCCCTTCTACTATAAAAGGGAGGGACCGGGGCTGTTTCTAAAGACGAGGGACACGGGCATGAACTGGAACACACTTAGGCACATACGAACTCACGAGGAAGACGAACACAGGCCGTAGCACCCACACTTAGATCAACGTCTCGAGCAATTCGTCCCGTTCACCATAGAGACTTGGGGCTAGCTCCCTCTCTCGCCCTGCTTGTAACCCCCTACTACGAGCACTTCGGTGCAAGGAATACAAAATCGATCTCCTAGACTGGACGTAGGGCACTGATTGCCTGAACCAGTATAAACCTTGTGTCTCTTTGCATCACCATCCGAAATTAGGGGCACGCAGTACAAATTTACTAGTTGGTTGAGAACCCCCCGGTCCGAAACACCGACAGTTAGATACTTCAAAACTAGCACCTGGTGAAAGAACCTACTGTACCTCCCAGGCCAAGTCTAATAACAGTCAATAAGCTCCACATGTAGAGTAGTATAAACTTGGGTTTGAGCCACACATCGTGCAGGGCCTTATTACATTTTACAAGCTTCCATTATGAATGACTTGTTTACCTAATAAGATACAGATGCCGATCAAGAACAAATAAGTTTGCGTTGTCGCTTTCACTGTTTCCAAGATATTTGTGGGTTTCAGGTTGTACTGTGATTTATCAAATGTTTCTCACAGTAGGATCGAGATTCTATGGTTAGCATTAGCATTAAATACCTCTTTCTTTATGCAATTCTAGTCAATGGATTGAATTGAAGGAAGGGAGATAAATCAATAATGTGGTGCCTCCTGCATCATTTTGTAATCAGATCTTTAAAATAAGTAGCGGCAGAAATAAGCTGGAACTAAACTAATTTAACAAACCTAACTAATGAGTAATTTTTTAGTAGTCCATTTTGCTAACAGCAGTGATGTCACAAAGTTTGCTTACAATGAAAAACACCAAATTAAAATTATAATGCTTTGGAGAATAACACGAAATTGCCTGTTATGCACATTATCTAAGCCAGTACTTGACATTGGCAGCTAAATTAAGTACGTAACAATTGGTTTCCCCTTCTTGAATGGTAACTATACAAAGTATAAAGATCATTCAAGTAATATGATAACTTGCCACTTCCTAATAAAGAATTACATGGTCATATCCAAAACATAGTTATGTTACAAAGGAAGGCAGCACAGGATTAGCCACAAACCTCATTTTTTTGAGCTCCTCAGCTTCTTCAGGTGAAAGGCCGTGGTTGCAACCAGAAAACGCAAGCATATCCATCTCATAGCGTAAATGCAAGGCTACAAATGATCCCTTGGCTCGCAGTTTATGTACCAGTTTATTCCCTAGTCCCTCAATTTGAGGTGTGAATTTCAGTGCATGAAAATTAACACGGCATCTAAGCAGTTGAAGCTCTGTACTGATACCATTATTGGCTAAGCGAGCATCTGTTTTGTTAAAATGGATGACACTGTATTTGCTGAACAGTGGTAAGATCTGCACGGGTGAGAGATTGTCAAGAGGATACAGTGAATCAGTTACCATGAAAACAAGGACACATCAAGATGAGTTACAAACCTGATGCAAGTAATATTTTTCATCTGACCAGCTCACGGGTGGCATTTCAAGTATAATAATGTCTGAATCTCCTGGACCAAGCTTCTCTGGAAGCTGTTTAATGATGTGCACCTCATCTCTCAATGAGTCGATGAAATGCCTCACGTCAAATATGTCTCCAAAATTACTGTCGACCACAACGAACACTACTCACTTTAGATGTTAATACGGTTAGTTCCATAGTGCATCTCTCAAATAAAATGATGGTTACCTTTGATCAGCCCAGAATGATCTCTTGTCAAGTTCTGGGACAACCATAGTGAGGTTTAGAAGACGAGCAACTGCCACCATGTCACATATCTGAATAAATGGAGGTACCAAACAGCAAAGATTGTTAGGAAAGAAAAAGGAAACACGAAGTTGAATGGAAGAAGAAAGCAAACAGCAATGACCTCTGAGCGCATCTGATTCAGACCACCATTACAAGATATCTTCAGGTAACCATTGCTCTTGTATATTCCTGAAAAAATTTAACAGTGATCAAATTGCCAAATTGCAGTGGCGATTGAATGCAGCAGCTGTGTATCAACAAAAGCCTACAGAATCTAGTCAATCTAAATTCAACTCAAGTTCTCAACAAAACATGAAGCCTATTCGTAACTTCACATTTCAATAGTGCTAGTGCCTCGAGAAAAAATATGAGGGTGTCAATCGATCAAAGCATTACTATACACTACTCCTATACAACAGTATATGGTTGGCGTGACTTTCCGAGTCAACATACTTATACTTCAATAATAGTCGCAACAATGCATTCAGCAGCAACATTTACTGGTTAATAAACGTGCTAGTGCCAAGTTGCGTACGGACAATCACAGCTGCGCACTCGTACGACTAAAATACCCTTCAGCATTTGTAACACGATATTTTTCCATTTTCACTCGCTCAGTGCTCTATGAAGTTCCATGCAATAGAGCAGTAATAAGAATAAAATGAAATCGAACTACCCCAGAAATACAAAACAATAAGGAAACCAACGCACTCGGGGGCGGAAGAGCGGAAGGTGGCGGCGAGGGATCGACGTCGCCGGCGAGGCCAAAAAGGAGGAGAAGGCGGCCGACGGCAACGAGCTGCGCGACGGAGGCCCACAGCAGGACGGCGGCGCAGCCCGCCACGAGCCAAACCCTAGGCCTCGACCTCGCCATCGCACGCGCGGCCGCGGCCTAGGCCCGGCGGGCGGACGGCCGCCTCCTGATCGCCGCGGGCATTGGAGCGATTCCGGACGGCGGCGATTCCGGTTGCCGGCGGTTCGAGAATCTTCTAGAAGATTCGCGAGGGGCGGGAGGTGATTTTGTTGGGCCTGGTGGCGAGTGGGGACTGGAGAGCGGTGAGCCGTGACAGCGACCGCGAGAGTGGGGACTGGACGCGTTGCTGGCGGCTGTTTGCGCTTGGCTTCTGTTCTTGGTCTTTGTTTTGGCTTTGCTACGAGTAGCAGGCTTAGTTACTCCAAACTTTTAAAAAGTACACTATATAAAAAATAAATTCCGTCACATTAAAATTGTAGTATATGCATGAAGTATTAAATATAGATGAAATCAAAAACTAATTGCACAGCTTGCTTTAATTGTGCGAGACGAATCTTTTGAGCCTAATTAATCAATGTTTGACAATAATTCACGAATACAAACGAAATACTACAGTAGGAAATCTTTACTATGCAACTTTGCCCAACTAAACACCCCCTATAAAAGGATGGATCGGTGTCTCGATGACCACAGGCGACGAGACATTCCAAATTTTCATGGTCCCTTTGTTAGCTTTTAGTCCATAGAAATCCAAACAGGTAGCTTAAGGTAAAAAGAACATAACTAAAATTCAGTCCATTTGCTCTGAAGGGAGCCTAAACTGCATTAAAAAAGCCTAGGGCAAAGGACGCCCCATACCCCCACCCACCCACTAGCTATCACCTGTTCGCTTGATCATATCAGTTATGATACAGTATTTTTCTCTCACAACAAAACAGCATCAGTCGGTTTATAAACCACGTAAACGATCAAGCGAACAGGACGCACGCATGTGCATGTGCACGTGCATAGATAAATTAAATTAGGGGTAAATTAGTCATTATTAGTTGAAGGGCTAAACACCCCATCAAAAACTAAACTTTAGCTCCTTTTAGTCAAGGACTAAACTTTCCTGGGACTAGTGATTAAGGATCTGTCCCTTAGATCTAAGTTTTTAATAAAGCTTATAATTTTAAATTAGTTAGTCTCTTCGCCAAAATAATTAATATTTTCAAAATTTTTTGGATAGATTAAAAATACTAGCAAAACACACACACACACACACACACACACATATATATATATATATATATATATATATATATATATATATATATATATATATATATATCCTCATCTTCTTTTCTTTCCTGGAGGATATCTGCTTAATTTGACAACTACCGTTTTGTATGCATTCATAATTAGTTTTCTCATTAGAAGACAATATCATATACTCTTGTAGAATGCTATATTTCAGGAATAAATTTTAAAGCTCAGAAACTGGGACCGAGTGAGTGTATAGTAAAAGCTAGGTATGTACTACAGATTAACTCATTCTTTGTATTTTAAGCATTTAAGTGATGGAATATTGTACTCATACCTGCATCTACATATAAATGCCCTGTTCGCTTGACTGATAAGCCATGACTAAAAGTACTATTGATTGATTTATTGTGAGAAAAAAATATTGTTCGTTGACTAAAAAAGTATGGCTTGTAAGCCAAGCGAATGGGGCGTCCTCATGCATCGTATCTAGCCAGCCAGGTCTCCTCTAGCATGTAGTCATGCAAACAATTATTCTCCCTGTGTCGCTCGAACTACTCCAACAGTGCTTTTAGCGAACGAACAATATTTTTCTTTCACAATAAATTAACATAAGCATCAACATAAGCCAAATTCCAACCAAACAAGTTCATAAGACCTGTTTGGAACGTAGGAATAAAAAATATAGGAACGGAAGAAAATACAGGAATAGGAAAGGAACATGATGGTAAAACAGAGGAAAGAAAATACACATGATTTTTTTTAAAATGGGCGTTTAGAATGCAAGAATGAAATAGTAGAAGAATCTTATTTTATTTGGACTAATGTTGTGCCTGTTTTGCTAAACTTGGTAGCTTGAGTTTAGCATGGGTAGGTCAATGAAGCGCTAGAGTTGGTGCATGACGAGAACACAAGTGACGTGAATGGTCAATCACACATCATCGTCACAGGAAAATTTTCTCTTAGCTTAGACCGGATGTTTTCTTTCCTTCAAAATGCATGGGTGGAGGAAACTTTCCACAGGAAAGGATTTGCTCAACCCTACATTCCAAACGCATGAACAGTCCCTGTACTTTTCCTTTGAAATCCTACAATTCAAACGGGACCTAGAATTTTGTATCCCACCTACCATAGCTCGAGTACTCATGCGTATCTAAGGTAGCATCGTTAATTGGGCTAATTGAATCCATTATAAATTCTATGTGTACGCGATACACCATTACTTCTTGTCTAATAGGATTGGTGTCGTTATAATTTCTCTTGGACTTGAAATATGTCATCCATTCAAAAGCATAGAGTTGTCTGTATGTCTATACGTGGGTTTAAAGAAGCGGCAGACGTACAAAATAACATATTTGAAATTGAGAAATGCTAATGGTCAACCGGTTGATTTAGGGACATCTCTCAACCGGTGTTTTGCCATTGGATGGCGTTCGATCCTCCTCGTCCGTCCTCCATCAGCCGTCGATACAAAACCAACCGGATAACTTCGGCCTCGTGGTTGCCCCCGCCGTTCCCCACGGCTTCTCTCGAGGGAGCCGCGTAGGCGGCCTGCTCGCCCAGGCTGCGTGTCCACCGTCGAGTAGTGCAGCGTGTACGTGAGCAAAGGAGAGAGGGACTGCTCGTGGGGGCCCACGCCGGTTGACCAAGAGTGGAGCAGAGGCACTGCTCCTTCTGTTTCTTTCTGCGTGAGAGGCCGGCGCCGTTTCATTTTGCCTGGGGATGCGTGTGTAAGGGCGTCCCCGGCGCCGTCCGTTCCGATTGCAACAATTTTGTGTGGATTTTGTATATTTTTTTAAATTTTATAAAGAATTTGTGAATAATTTAACATATATATCTTTGGTGTCTGGAATCCATAAAAAATAATTTGTATTTTTTTTGAAAAATTTGGCATATATTTATGTTATTCTCAAATTACATCACTCTGTCCAATAAATTACACTGAAGAAATCATTGTAAATATAGTAATAAGTCGGTGTAAATATAACTATAAGATAGTGTAAGTGCATAAGACAGTGTAAGTACATAGAAAAAAAATCAATTAATGGAAGGGGCTAAATCAACCCGTCGTTAGCTAGACATGCCCTTTAAATTTTAAGTGGCATGGGTAACGTCGAATTTGAATTTGTAATGGCATGGCCAATTAACCATTGCCAATTTGCCATCCAGAGTTTCAGACTCCACGGCACACAGATGATGCGCAGCCAGCTTCCGCGATGCCGTCGATCTCACCGGCAGATTTACTTGTCTGCTCAGGCCGGTGCTCCACGAAGCGCGACCTCCAGCTCCTCCATGCCGCTCTCCTCCGTCGCCGCCACATACTTCCGGCGGCCGATGCCGTCGCGGTGCTCGCCAAGCTCCTCCGCTTCGCCGCGGTGTCTCCCACCGGCGACCTCCGCCACGCCTCCGTGCTCCTCTCTCTCCACCTCCCGTTCATCTCCGCCGCCGCTTCCCACCTCGCCTTTTCTACAACACCCTCATTCGCGGTCTCGCTGTCTCCTCATCGCCCAGCGTTGGCATCGAGCTCTTAACCGCGATGCGCCGCGCGGGCGCCGCTCCCGACGCCTCCACCTTCACCTTCGTCCTCAAGTCTTGCTCCCGCTGCCATTCGCCTGGTCGGTTGCCTTCTGACCTCCACGCTCAGGCGTTCAAGCACGGTTGCCTCGGCGCGCGGAGCGAGCACGCTCATGTCCAGAATGCTTTGCTGCACGAGTACGCGTCTCGGTCCGCCGTCGACGACGCCCGCAGGGTGTTCGACGAAATGCCCGTCCGGGATGTAGTCTCCTTCTCGGGGCTACTTACGGCGCGCCTCAAAAACAACCAGCTGGACTCCGCGCGCATGGTGTTCGACCAGATGCCACATCGTGATGTTGTTTCTTGGACTGCCATGATCTCTGCCTATGCCAGGGCTTCGCGTCTATAGGAGGCCCTGGCATTGTTTGATGCAATGCCAGTGCAACCAGACGAGGTGACCATGGTAAGTGTTGTGTCGGCATGCACTGCACTTGGGGACCTTGTGACTGGGGAGCGTCTGCGTCATTATGTTGATTCCAATGGTTTTGGGTGGATGGTTTCACTCCGCAATGCACTCATGGACATGTATGCTAAGTGTGGGTGCCTACCTGAAGCACGTGCTTTGTTTGATGGGATGGCAATAAGGAGCTTGGCATCTTGGAATACACTTATCTCAGCATATGCATCACATGGTGATGAGGAAAGCACAATTGCTTTGTTTCATCAAATGCTGGCTCATGACAATTCCGTGAAGCCAGATGGGGTGACGCTGCTTGCAGTGCTCACCATGTATGCACACAAGGGCTGTGTTGAGGAGGGGCGCACTGTGTTTGATGCGATGCAAAGAGGAGATTATGGCAAAGTGGAGCCGACCATCGAGCACTATGGGTGCATGGTGGACTTGCTTAGTCGGGCAGGACAACTTGAGGAAGCTTACCAGATGATAGGGCAAATGTCGATTCCAAGCAATGATGTGGTCTGCGGTGTGTTACTTGGTGCATGCCGTATGCACGGCAATATTGACATGGCAGAGAAGGCAGTCCAAAAACTAAGGATCCTAAACCCACATGAGGGTGGTTACTACATTTTGCTCGTAGATATGTACACAGCCGCTGGCCGAACAGCAGAAGCCATGGAGGTTAGACGGACCATGAATAAGACCGGGGCCAAGAAAACTACAGGCTGGAGCTGCCCGACTACTGTCTATGCCTTCCTACTGATGTGTCTATGCCTTCCTACTGATGTTGTGATGACTGGTCATTAGTTCTCCCTTTGAGTGATGGTTACACTGAATGATCTGGCGACAGGTAAAAAATGCAAAAATGCACCATAGTCAAATCCTGTCATTATGAAAGTCCAAGTCTATAGTTATCACTAGTATTGTTTATGTGGTATCCTGCTGCACATCAACAAGGAAAATACAAAGCGGTCATGTATGGAGCCTTTGGTGGCACCGAACCTTGAAGGGATTAGACTTCGTAGAGTATTTGAAGGATTAGGCAAGATGGTCAGAGCCTATAGCTATCACTTGTATTATTTATGTGGCATCCTGCACATCAACAAGGAAAATACAAAGCAGTCATGTGTGGAGCCTTGTCAGCACCGAACCTTGATTCCTTGAAGGATCAGACTTCATAGAATATTTGAAGGATTAGTGAAAGGACCTAGGATGTCGTCTAGAGGGGGGGTGAATAGGCGTTTCTGAAAATTAACACCTTTAAATGCGGAAACAATTAAAAAGGGGAGTTTCCAAAATGGAAACTCCAAATTAAGAGTACTACCACCCCTCACAAGTTAGCCACAGAGTAAACAAGGTATAAAGAATATATCTAGAAGCTACAACCCTGCAACATCAAGTTAGAACAGAGAATAAATATTTTTAGTGCATGCAGAAATACTGGGACGTGTCCGGTATGAATAATCTGGGACGTGTCCATTATACACGATTTCTGCAGATCAGCCCGAACTTGCTCCTTTTGATTTCTATCTTCAAACCAAACTGCAGGCACCTAATTTAACTATCGGTATACAGAGAACTCACGCACAAGTGCTAGAGCAACACAAATATCAAATGAAATGCGAATTGAGACACGATATTTGTTTTACGAAGTTCGGACTCGTTCGAGTCCTACTCTCCGTTGAGGGGCTGCAGGCGACCAGTGAAGGTCGACCCTAGAGGATACCACGAAGGTCACTCTAGCCGAGTCTTTTCCAACTCCTTTTCCTCCTTCCACTAATTGATTCCGGCGGCGGAATCGGCCAATTCTAAACTTTCCGAGGCACACCACAATCTCCCCGGTGCTCTCGGCGACGTCTAACCGCCTAGGACCGAAGAGTCCAAGAGTAACAAATGCGAATCACGAGATTTACAATATGCACAAGTGCTCAAGTGGTTGGATGGCTCTCTTTTGAATTTCACTCAACCCACAAATTGATTTTGCAAGTTTGATCAATCACTCACTAAGAGAGGGTTGGCAAGGCTCAAAAACGTGTGTCTAAGTCAAGAGAATCAATGACCTCCAAAGGTGGAGGCTTGGGGTTATTATAGCCCCCTTGAAAAACTAGCCGTTTATAGCCGTTGCAATACGGGACACGTCCGGTATGACTCGAGATCAGCATGTGAACGGTAACTAAGTTACTGATGATGTTGTGAGGCCTCGGAACTCCCGAAGTATGCCGGACTTCCCGACCGTCCGGAACTCCCGACTCAAGTGGAACCCCGACCCTCGGCAATTTTGAAAAACATGTAATCGAAGAAAGTTAGTGAGGTGTCGGAACTCCCGGCGCATGTCGAACTCCCGACCCTCACGGCTTTTGAAAACTAGCCGTTGGCTTCGGTCATCCATACGGGACACGTCCGGTGTGAATCTGGACACGTCCGGTATGACCAGACACGATGAAACCTCTAAGTCTGTTGAAGTGCGAGGCGTCGAACTCCCGACCCATGCCGGACTCTCCGACCGTCGGAACTCCGACCTACGTCGGAACTCCCGGCAAAAGCAACCCGAGAACAATAATTTTACAAATTGCTTGGACAAATACTGGGACACGTCCGGTATGAATGAATACGGACACGTCCCCGGTATTGCCGAAGCCGACAAGAAATCGATTAGCACATTTGTCGCTCAAATAATCAAACCTCACATGGGTTGGCTTGAGCACTTATGAAACATTATCTATCAACATGATGCATCCCTCTTAATAGTACGGCATACCTATTAAACTCAAGATCAAAGGAAAAATGAATTTATACCACTTGAGTTGATTTCTTTTGAATTGATGCCGTCCCTTCCAATCTTCATCAAGTAAGGGTGCTAACAAGTTGATGTTGATCTTTTATTTGAGCATAGCCATCTTGAGCATGTGACTTGATTCCATTCATCAAATTTGAATAACCCCAAATGTATCAAATCACTTCCATCAAATACTTCATTATAGATTTGATTCTTCACATCAATATGACCATCTTAGCTTGATTAGTACCTCAACTAAATGCAAGTACTTTCTTCTTCACCCTAGCTAGGTTCTTGACGCCAAGCCGTCGCTTGCCCTTCACCCTTGCTTAGTACCTCAAGCCTTTCCTTGCTATCTTCACCATCTCAAGCCATCAAGTCACATCTTGTGTTGAATCATCCATTCATATGTATTGTTATCTTTTTCATTTTAATTTAGCAAGCTTCAAATATGAGACCATTCCATATGCAATCCCTCATGTCTCATTAACTAATAATCATGAGCTTGCTTTCACATAGTACATGGAAATCCCACAAAAAAATAAGCCTTCACATGAATTCCATTTGCATTGTTGTCTTGTGCTTGAACTAGATTGTTTATACAACAACACATCATTTTGGCTTTCATTAAGTACCTGTGAGATAACCTATTACCTGTTCACACTTAGCAAACGGATTAGTCCTTTAATCACGTTGTCATTCAATCAACCAAAACCCACTAAAGGGCTAGATGCACTTTCAATTAGGCTTCGTAAAAACTAAATCCTTCCAACATTTGTACAGGCCAAAATATTCCAACAATAAAAAACTTGGAAGAAAATAAGGAGCAATGGGGGATAGGAGGGTTCTACTTGTTGCATCTCCTGAGGTAGCAATCTTTGGTTACGATGGAGTTGTCTCATTTGCAAGTGTTCAGGATACCGTGGATGCTGTTCCACTGAACAACCAAGTGCGCACCATCATCAGGATTGGTCCTGGTGTGCATCGGCAGCAAGTGCACATTCCCAAGACCAAGAACTTCATCACCTTGTGTGGATCCCCAATAAAGGACACAGTGATCTGTTGGGACAACACGACTACTCGCATCAAGTATACTCAGGTAGTGTCACTTCCGGCTGGCCTCCTGCTTGAATAGATAGTCTGTCATGTATGTGCTATCCCTAGTGAAATTACAAGTGCCTGGTAAAGATTCACTTAACAAGGATCGCTATTAGTTAGATATGTAACAATGATGTCATTTCGATGTGAAAATATTGTTTGTCAAGGTGACCAGTGCATTTTGCATTGATCAGGTACAATATAAGTTGAGGTTATTGTACCCCTTGTGAAAGCAGTTTCATTGTTTGTTATGGGAATCAATACATTTGTGGCTTTTGAGTATTATAACTTCTTTCCACCCCGGTAACGAATTAGTGAAATTTTTTTCCTGGATGTCCTTAAATTTGAAGTCTTGTTCATTAAGAGGAAGCCACTAGCAATGACATTTATCTTCTTAAAAGAGCAACAATGTGTACTTCAGTTCTGTTAATCTGAACCAATGTGTATCCGAAATGATAAGCCTGATTGGAATTACTCTGGCTGTTCCTCTACCATAATCGGATGGAATCATGTAAAGTTCTTGCATTATTTTTTCTCTTTTTGCATTTTCTGAATACTCCTCACATATTCCATATCTGTTCTCTTACCAGTCATCACAAGATATTGGCACAGGAACACTAAACAGTGCAACAGTTATTGTGGAGGGGGATGATTTCATTGTAGAGAATGTTATTTTTAAGAACTCAGCTCCCCAGGTATTATCCTAGCAGACTTGTTTATGTGGCACCTCTGGTGGATCTGGTTAGTCAGTGATGCTGGTGCGATGACATGTACTGCTGTGTTATAGGTGTCTGGGCAGCAGCAGCAGTACTTGGCTCTATCAGTTCATTATTTGTGGTTTCCTTTTTTTTTTTTTTTTTTTGGGGGTAGCTCTTTCACACTCTAGCTCTAGGTGCCTCATCACATTGTGCTGTTTATTTGATGTTTGCTTCTTCAGAAAAACGATCTTACGTGAATTTCCTGTTACTAGAAATTGGATCTTTTGGATCTGCTTTTGATTTGCCTCATAATGTAATCGTCTAATACATCATTTAATGGCAGAAAAGGTACATATATGTAATTGTGTAACCATTTAACTTTAGCTTGGGGCTTTGGTTAACCAGGTTTGTTAGGTTGACTTGTCAGTCTGTCACCTCTGGTGGAGTGGTGATAGCTTAGTGGAATACACATTATAATACTGTAGTGCGCTTATTGTGCAGAAGAATATCATGTTTCATGGGGGTTGATGTCTTTTGGTGCCAAGTTGTAAGGAGATATAAACATAGCTGTCATTACTTAGTTTTATATTGTTTTTACTTTCAGGTATTCTAATTTGCTTTGCAAAATCATTCAGGAAACTTTACATTTGCATGATGGAAAGCAGTTCTTGAAAAACTGTTACATTGAAGGTAATTATGACTTTATCTTTGGAGATTCTACTGCCCTTCTGGAGCATTGCCATATCCACTGCAAATCGGCAGGATATATTACTGCTCATGGCCGGAAATCCTCCTCAGAATCAACTGGATTCGTATTCTTCAAGTGAGTTTACTACTCACCAGTGTTCTCACTTCTAATGTAAATCTGCTACATGATTATCTAGAGACTAGAGTTAGCCTACCATTTCCTTTTACTTCTTACTACGAATTTACATGCCAAATGACATGGCACCATCCAGGTGTGTTATTACTGGCAATGGAGAAGCTGCGTATATGTACCCCTAGGAGTCCTTTGGGAGGGTTGTTTTTGCAGAAACTTTTATGGATCACTGCGTAGAGCCTGTTGGGTGGCATAATTGGGACAAACCTGAGAATGAGCAAACGGCCTGCTTCTGCGAGTACAGGTCTCAGCCTTGCCCTTCTGTTTCTCATTGTTCCTGAACACGAGTGTTACTTGAACTTCAAAATGACGATATCCTTTTATGTTTACTGGTTGATCATTCCTTTTCTCTTCTACTTTCTAGCTCTTCTTGGTTACTCATGACAAGATGACTTGCAGCTGAATAGGCATGTTTGGTAATTGGTATTGACACCTGTTATTGGCATTCTTCACAGGTGCTCCGGTCCAGGATCCAGCATATCGGAACGGGTACCTTGGTGCAAAGAATTGTTCGGTGATGAAGCTATACCGTTCCTTATACAAACTTTCATTGATCCAGATATCGAGAATCCATGGTTGGTCCACAGGTTGGGAACTCAAGTCCCAGTTTCAGCGTCTTCACCGTAGCATATAGCTCCTTAATGTTCACTTCAGCGACTTCATGTAGATGAATAGATTATAAAAGGGATGTAACGAGAGCTGAGCAGTATGCACTGGAATCATGTCTATAGAGTAGGAGTACGAAGAAACTTTGTTAGACTGTTGTGAAATACGTATGAACTACAGTTGACCAAGGACTCATACAGAATCCGCATGGAATGGGACCAACTTCCTTGTCTCCTGAATAAGCTGCTACGGTGAACTGTCGGTGCAAGCCTGGTGTCTCCTTTCTGGAGGCTGGAGCGACACTACAGTCTTGAGGGACTGCAGCCTATCTTGGCAGGAACCCGTGCTGTGAGACCGGAACCTCGAACGCCATCATCTTGTCGCCTCGAGCAAAGCCGTTGCGGTCGTAGGAGACCTCGGAGATGCCCAGCTCGTTGCACACCCTGACGAGCTCCTCCCCGACCCTCCGGGCTGCCTCCTGTCCAGGGCGAGCCGGCGAGGCAAGCTGAACTTAAAATTTCCACCGGAACACAATGCAAATTTCAGACGGAGAAGACGATGACTGCTTACCACGGTGCCGCAGGGCGGGTCGCCGCAGATGGACTTCTGCAGCGTGCTGCCGTAGAAGAGGATCTTCTTGTTGTGGTCGTCGGCGAGCACGGCGTAGAGCTGCCGGTTGGAGCAGAACACCGAGAGCCTGGGCTTTGTCGCCGTGCCGTTGAACTGCAGCCAGCGAGAGTCGGCGGCGGAACCGCGGTTTGGTTACATCCTGCCGGGTGCCGGGCTGCTGGCCTTATCCTGAAATTTGAAAGCTCAGGTGGAGCATCGGAACGTACCTTCTTCTGCAGCCGACGGTTCCTGACCTTGGCATTCTCCGTGCGCGCGCCGCGCCTCGCCGTCGCCTCGATCCTGGGGTACGCGCGCTGGGGCGCGCCGAGACCTGCACGTATCAGACAGAGATAAGAGCGCGCGTGGGCGTCGCCGAGCTAGCGAGCGCAGAACAGCGTGTCTGCGGTGGCTCTGCTCACCTGGATGTGGCGGAAGCGAGAAGTCGAGGCTAAGCCCGGATCCTGTCAGCGAGGTCGGAGGGTGGCGGACCGGGAGCGCGGCGCGCGGCGAGAACGGCTGGGCTAGCGCGGCGCATAGCAGCGCCATGGCCAGTGGGGCAATTCGTCGAACAGGTGCCGCGCGGGCGGTTTTGTCCTTGGTTAGGCTGCTGCGCTATTGCCTGTTGGCATCAGTTTACCCCTCCACACCACCAGCCCACCGTTGGCCTTGCCCTGGGGAAAAAAAAGAGTACTCCGAGATCTGGCCTTCTCAGTCTCCACAGCCCTCTCGTCTTCTCCCCTGACTCCGAGATCTTGCCGATCTGCACCGACGCCGCGGCCCGCGGCCATGGCGGTGCCCTTTCCTTCTCCCACCCCGCGGTCCCCGCGGCGACCAGATGCCATTGTGGCCCCGGACCCCTCGTCCGCTGACGTGCCACCGTCCCTCGACTTCGGCGACCCGGCCTCCCTCGCCGCGCTCCGCGTCCTCACCGACGCGGGTGCCGCCACCCGCCTCCTCCACGAGTGCGTGGCCTACCAGCGCGCGCTCGACGCCCGTCTCGACGCTCTCCTCGCCCGCCGCGCCGACCTCGACCGCGCCGCTGCTTCGCTCCTCCGCTCCGCCCCGCCGCTGCTCTCGCTCGCGGCCTCCGACGCCGCCGCGCTTAAGGAGTCCTCCTCCTCCACCGCGGCGCTGGCCGACGCGCTCTCATCCCGCGTCCGCCACCTCGACGCGGCGCACTCCAGGGCGGACGCCGCGCTGGCGCGCGCCGAGGCCGCGCTCGACCGTTCCCGCGCGCTCGAAGCCGCGCGGCGGGCCTGGCCGCCGACGACCTCGCCGCCGCCGCCACCGCCGCGCATGAATTCCTCGCTATCGACGCTCGGTTCCCCACCGACGACGATCTCCGCCGCGATCTGCTTGACATCAAACGTCGCCTCGAGGGGCTCTGCGCGTCGGAGGCTAGCGGCGGTCGTCGACGCACAGGACCACCCTGCGGTGCTCCGCCTCGTCCGCCTATTCCCACTGCTCGGACTTGCCGATGAAGGACTCCAGGTCTACGTCGCCTACCTGAAGAAGGTTGTCGCTCTGCGTGCCCGTGCAGACTTTGAGCACCTCGCTGAGCTGACCTCCGTGACCCAACCGACCTCTGAGCGGCCGGATTTTGTTGGCTGCCTCACTCGTCTCTTTAAGGACATTGTGCTCGCTGTTGAGGAGAATGATGCTGTGCTTCGTGAGCTCAGAGGCGATGATGGTGTTGCTTATGCCATCATTGAGCTGCAGGAGGAGTGTGATTCAAGGGGCACCCAGATCCTACGCCGTTATGCTGATTACAGGAAGCTTGCACGCCTTGCATCGGATATAAACTCCTATACAAAGAACCTCCTTTCGGTTATGGGTTCCATGGCCAGTGCTGCTGGAGGCAATGAAGGGCCTGATCCCAAGAAAATTGAGCTTTATCTTGAGGAGATTCTTGCGTTGACACAGCTTGGGGAGGACTACACTGAATTTATGGTGAATAAGATCCGCGGATTGAGAGATGTCAAGCCTGAACTTGGGCCGCGGGCGATGAAGGCCTTCCGTAATGGTAACTTTAATAAAATGGAGCAGGATCTGACTGGGTTCTATGTGATCTTTGAGGAGTTTTTCATGGTGGAGAATGTGAGGAAAGCCATACGGATTGATGAGCCCATACCAGATGGTCTCCTAGCGTCAATGGTGGACGATGTATTCTTTGTACTGCAGAGTTGCTGCCGCTGGCTGCTTCCACTGCAAGCATAAACTCTGTTCTTGCTGTGCTTGGTGGGGCAACGAGCCTTCTGAGCAATGAGTATCAGGAGGCACTACAATGGAGGATGCGGGAGCCAAATTTGGGTGCAAAGCTCTTCCTTGGTGGTGTTGGGGTGCAGAAGACTGGTGAGGAGATTGCGACTGCACTAAACAACATTGACATTAGCTCTGAGTATGTTCTGAAGCTCCGTCATGAGATTGAGGAGCTCTGTGTGGAGGTGAGTCTAGTATTTTTTGACTCTATACGTTTGTTTAAGCCTAAAGTGAGACATGTTTAATAACTAGGCCATCTATGCATTCCATCAAGTTCAATTTATTGCTTCTGTGCATTTCTTCAGTTATATATTGTGTTCTTAATTGCAGATTGTTTGATTTAAAATGAAGGAGCTCACAACAGTTTAGCATTCTCTGAAAATTAGTTGATAGTAATAGAGTAAATTTCAGAAACCTAAAACTTTTTTATGGCAATGATAAATCATTTGGTGTATCATATTGGTCTAGTTGTGTACACCTACATTTTTCAACAATGATCCCTGTGAGTTGGTAATGGTATCTCCTGTGTGCTGTCGCTGCTGCCGTCATTTGATCTCTATGTATCTTATGTAATAGAGAATCTCATAACTCAAAGAATGCATTTCATTGCCTTAGTAAAATTAGTTTGGCATTGCTTAATTCTATCATGCTAATGCACATAGAAATGATTGTTTAGTCTTATGTATTTGTCAGCTGGGAAATGACAAATCATGAGATGTAAATGCCTGAACTAGCAACTTTCTAAGTAGAACAGAATTATGTTACTCACATTGATAACATTTTGTGTACTGCTTTCTGGTCACTCCTGTTGTAGGAACTGTCTTTTCAGCTTGCCATAGCAAAACCATTAAACTTAGTTCCAGATAAACAATTCTGCAAACTAAATTACTAAACTTACTATGTAGAATAAACAGTATTGATAAATGATGTGTGAAGTATTGAATGTATGATTGATGCAGCAATCTTGTCTGCGGGAACCTGTGATCTAACGAATAGAACAACTTGCTTATTAGTCATCTTGCAAGCATAATAATGTACAAAATGTCAGTGACAAGCACGTTATGCTCCAGGACCACCTTGAACTTTTATTGAGCAGTATCTAAAACAGTGCAGCAAAAATGAAACTTGTTTACGTTTATCCGAAATACTTTTTGAAAATAGATCTGGAAATGAGACAATGAATCATAGGCCTGTACCAGCATTTACTGTATGGTACACAGATATTAAATTAGTATATACAATATACATGGTCTAGTCAGCAAAACATGCATGCCTGTAGGGGACTAAAACTATAAAACCATCTACAGGACTACAACAGTAACGCTTGAGCATCTTCATTTGCATCTATGATCTATTGAATAGATTCTTGAACCCTGTACCAAATTTCTATAATTATGCAATAGATTGCAGTGCCCAGGGCCTGTTTTGGAATGCAGGAATTTCACAGGAATTGGTTCAATTCACAGGAAAAAGGCAGGAATACCTGAATTTGGCTATATTGTTTAACGCAGCTTTGGTTTGATGAAGTTTAGAGCAAAAGTTCACTTCTGATTTTGATTCCTCTATGTTCCTTTACATTCTCCTTTAATTTATAATGGACTAAGGGCAAGTATCTTGGTGTGTCTTATAGGCGGTCTCTCATGTAGTGCATGTGATCTTGAGTTGACTTATCAGACAACCTGTACAATAACTTGTCTTTTGAGTTCTCGTAGTAACTCACATTTCCTTAATTTGTGTATATAAAACAAAATGAATGTTTTGAGTTGCATGGCAACAAGAAGTCATACAATGGTGCAGAAGCAGTCTCATAGTCCTAAATTTTAGCTTATGTGGTGGTTGTTTCACGAAACAACCTCTTTCTCTCACCTCCCTCTTCTCATCCACACCATAAAAAATCCTAGTATTGGACAACCTATAAGACCATTTACGTGTATCATTGTACTTGCTCTAATGGTTCTAAGAAATCTTCTGTTGACAAAGAATCTATAGTTAGCATAACTGGAAGTCCTGAGGATCATAGGGTTTATTAGTTACAATTGGGTACAATATTTACTTGAGTGTGACTCATATGACGTAACAGTGTCATTAGTAACTAGTGAGCAGTGATTTCTGATTTGATTGCCATATCATCATGGTTGATATAAACTCCACTGATTTGTGGCTGTCCAACAGGTTTTTCATACTCCAGCTGATCGAGAGAAGATCAAATCCTGTTTATCAGAGATAGGAGAGATCAGTGCTTCCTTTAAGAAGATCCTTCATTCTGCACTGGAGCATTTGGTGGCATCTGTGGCACCACGCATTCGTCCAGTCCTTGACACTGTTGCTACGGTCAGTTATGAGCTGGATGATGCTGAATATGGGGAAAATGAGGTGAATGACCCTTGGGTGCAGAAGCTTATACTTGCAGTTAACACTAATGCTGCTTGGCTCCAGCCAGTGATGACATCGAACAACTATGATTCCTTTGTGCACTTGATCGTTGACTTCATTGTCAAGAGGCTCGAGGTGATTATGATGCAGAAGAGGTTCAGCCAGCTCGGTGGGCTCCAGCTTGACAAGGAGGTCCGCTCTCTGATCAACCATTTCTCAGAAATGTCCCAGAGACCAGTCAGAGACAAGTTCTCTAGGCTTTCGCAGATGTCGACCATTCTGAACTTCGAGCGGGTATCAGAGATATTGGATTTCTGGGGTGACAATGCTGGCCATCTGACATGGCTGTTGACACCTGCAGAGGTGCGGAGAGTGTTAGGACTTAGGATTGACTTCAGGCCTGAAGCTATTGCTGCTTTGAGGCTCTGAATCGTGCATTTATGTGTACTTGTTAATTCTTTATATGTGATATACCAACAAGATGCCTTACAAATTTTTGTTGCAATGACAAACACCAGCATTGTAAAAGAAATCTGCGAACATACCTTTTGTCTGTTATGAGCTTATGATACGGCGAATTGGCGATGTTTGGGTCCATCCATGTCGCAAGCTGTAATATTTTCTTTTAAGCTTTTATACATTTGCCTCTCTTGGTGACTGGTTGACCATCTCTTCAGTTGCAACCAATTGGAAAAAACATGCGACGACTTGAAAACAGAAAAACTAAAAGGTAGAGTAGACCAAACTACTGAAATAAAATGTTACACTTTTGTTACGACCCAAGATGTCAATTGTGATTTATTAATTTTTCAAAAAGGATAAGAATAGTGTTAAAAACAGAAGAATTCACTCCTAAATTCCAAAAGTCAACATGAATTGTCTTATAAAAGGGTCAAAATAATCATAATGCCATA